GGAAACCAAAAGAACTTTAGCTTTTACTCTGAATGAAATGAGAAGCCACTGGAGGGTTTTGAGGGGAGGAATAACATGACCTCACTTTGATTTTAATAGGATCTAGGTTGAGATCACACTAGAAAGAGTGAGTGGGCAGGCAGACCTGTTAGAAGTCTACTTCAACAAATTCAGGCAAGAGATGATAGTGGTTGGAGGTAGTAAGAAGGGAAAAGATTATGGATACAATTTGGTAGTAAGAACCAAAAGCATTTGCTGAAAGATGGAATGTGGAATATAAAAGAGGACAATCCAGGATGATTCCAAGGTTTTTGGCCAAGGAAATAGAAGGACAGAGTTGTCATTTTCTGATAAAAGGACGAATACAGGAGGTAGATCAGAGCTGGAACATCAGAATCTCAGTGCTGAATATATCAAGTTTAAGGTATCTACCAGACTCCAAATGGAGATGTAGAGTAGGCAATTGAATACAGGAGCATGAGTTCAGGGGGGAGGCTGAAGCTAAAGATATACATTTGTGAGTTGTTAGGGTGATAAGTGATATTTAGAACTATGAGACATTCATGAGACCACCAAATTGGATTATATAGAGGTTGTCTTCTAATGTATTCAAAATAACTGGTTGGTATTCCAGGAAAGGACAGGCGCTCACATTTCATGGGTGAGAAAATAACTGTGGCTGAAGAACAAACTTGATTTTACACAACTTCCAAGTTTAAGAGGGAACCAGGATTAGAACATTGCTCCTCATCCATTAACACAAGGCTTTGTTCTCTGGGAATGTAATAAATGGTGTTCGATTTGAACTACCTGAAAAATAGACCATCTCCTAAGAGCATTAAAAAAATGTCAAAAATCAAAAAAACTCACACGTAACTTCTTATGCTCTCCTGTGAATTCAGCTGAAATAAAAGAATAACTTAGAAATCAGCATTTCAGATATTCTTCTAATTAAAAAAAAAACCTTCTTTTGAAACTGAGAAATGATGCCACTAGACAGGTGGTACAGGTGGCTTTGTAAGAAAAGCCCAGAGGCCTTCCATCGTGGTCATCCTACACCAAGGGCCACATAATGATCATGCAATGAATATTCATGTTTATCATCACAGGTCCAAGAACATAAGGTGGTATTAATTAGTTTACTAAGGAAAGAGCTTCCTGGCTCCTCCTATGGTAGTTAAAAGTTATAGAGCATAACATGTGGGCCCAAAAAGAAGACATAATAGACTTCATTCAACCATGACATTCTGGAGCAGTAGGAAGTCATCAGTCCTCTCATTTCAGAGATAAATTAGCTAACGGCACGCAAGAGGACCTAAAAGCCCTAGCCAAACGGCTTGCCGGTTAGTGACAGACTCAATACCACTACTAGACACGGGACTTCCCTGTGGTCTGAAACCAACAATTCCCTGTGTTAACAATCATTTTATTGAAATAACTTCAAGAAACAGTCCTTAATAACTTCTAAGCTCAAGAAATAAACAGAGCTAGAGAAGAAGACAAAAAAAAAAAAACAGGAACAAAAAAAAAATCACTTTGCTTTCATCATATCTCTTAGACAAGTTTTTTTCCCTTTTTTTATATTTTTATTTATTTATTTTGGCTGCGCAGGGTCTTAGTTGTGGCATGCGGGATCTTTGTTGGGGCATGCGGACTTCTTAATTGCAGCATGCATGCAGGATCTAGTTCCCCAACCAGGGATCAAACCCGGGCCCCCTGCATTGGGAGAATGGAGTCTCACCCACTGGACCACCAGGGAAGTCCCCTCTTAGACAAGTTTTCAACATCACGGTCATCAACCAGTCCCATGACTACTCTTTTTGGAAACTACGATTATGCTTGTTGACATTACAATTCCAATAATAATTGCTATCATTTACCAAATACCTAAAATGTACCAAGTTCAATATTAGTAACTATTATCAGAGATAATAATGGAGCAAGGACACAGAAGTTCTAACCAAGATAATAACCAAGAACTAATTATATAGAAACCTATCAAAAATGTGAAGTACTCTGGCACTGTCATATATTACTAGTGATAAAACCAATTAGTGAGCAGCAGACCAAACGCATTAAGATCTGCAAAAATGCTTACACCCTTCGGACAAATAGTGACCAAACTTTCATTTTTCTTCTGGACACATAGGAAGATAACATTTCTCAGTCCCCTGTTCATCTAAAAAGGATGATGCAACTGATATACAGCTAATGGAATGCTGTGGAATTCGTGTGGACCATTTCCATTAAAAAAATCTCCCTCGGGCTTCCCTGGTGGCACAGTGGTTGAGAGCCCACCTGCCGATGCAGGGGACACGGGTTCGTGCCCCGGTCCGGGAAAATCCCACGTGCCGCGGAGCAGCTGGGCCCATGAGCCATGGCCGCTAAGCCTGCGCGTCCAGAGCCTGTGCTCCGCAACGGGAGAGGCCACGACAGGGAGACGCCCGCGTACCGCAAAAAAAAAAAAAAAAAATCTCCCTCAAATAATCCCTTGCTCTTGCCATACCAGAAGCATCATTCCAAAATAGAAGGAGCCTGGATACCTGAGTCACCACTTAGAAGACAGCTGCCAAGCCAATATCTGATCAAGAACACCTACATTAAAACAGATAGCCAGTGGGAAGCAGCCGCATAGCACAGGACATCAGCTCCGTGCTTTGTGGCCACCTAGAGGGGTGGGACAGGGAGGGTGGGAGGGAGACACAAGAGGTAAGAGATATGGGGATATATGTATACATATAGCTGATTCACTTTGTTATACAGCAGAAACTAACAAAACATTGTAAAGCAATTATACTCCAATAAAGATGTTAAAAAATAAATAGATATGTTTAAATGCTAATAAATAAATAAATAAATATTTGTCTGCTTCTGCAAACCACATTATGCCTTCCAGTGAAAACTGAAAAGCAAATAAATTAAAGAATTGATTATACTTGTGAAAAGCCTGCTTTCTAGCTATCGTTTGCTGCTCAAGAACTGGGAGACTTTAGATTTAAGTCTAAATTTCCTTACTTCTTAATAAATACTTATAACTATTATTGGGAAAAAGAACACCTACATTGAACTTAGTGTTTAAGAAATTTATTATGTCAAGTCACTGAGTGACTCGTGGTATTTGTTATAGTAGCTAGTGTTACTCATTCAGATTAGTACAATTGTTTTAAAAATATGCAATGGTTAGAATCAAAAATAAGAATGAAATAAAACTGTAAAAATGGCGGAATTTAGAGTCCTTTTTTTTTTTACCCTTCGAAATACTTTAATGCCACTTGTATATGAAGGGGGGGGTTCTACTCTATATAATTTCTGATTAAATTTTTAAATTAGCATATACTGGTATTGAAATTAAAAAAAGAAAAAAGTTGTTAAACAACTACTGGTTTAATAACAATTTTTAAAATTAAAACCAAAAACATAAAATGTCATTTGAATTTTTCATCTTTGCCACAGGATAGAATTCAAATAAGTCCTTAGTACCTCTTTTTAAAATAACGCCATCTGGGACTTCCCTGGCGATCCAGTGGTTAAGACTCCGCGCTTCTAATGCAGGGGGCACGGGTTCAATCCCTGATCGGGGAATTAAGATACCACATGCCGTGCAGCGCGGCCAAAAAAAAGAAAAAAATTAAAATAATGCCACCTTTTATTAATATAAATAGACCTTTACTCACATGTTACCAAGTGTTATCACCTTATCTCAGTTGATCCTCATAAAAATCTGTCTTGCCTGACTTCTTAAGACCTCATTATCTCCACTTTACAAATGGGAAAAGTGAGGCTAAAAAAGCCATGATCTCTGTCCAAAAAACACATAACTAGCATATAGCTATTTTATTGTATAGTATACAGCTAGTATACACTTATATATTAGCTGAAATAGCTAGCACTAGTATCAATGTAGTTTCAATCCTAACCCAATATTCCTGTCCTTATACCATGCTTCCTCTCTTACAGCAACCAACACAGGTCAACTGATTATACCAAAGTGCCTTTCATCCAATATGTATTGAAAAGATGCTTGTGATTTTGACTCAAATATCTGATGTACTCTTAGAATTATCACTTATGGAAGAATCCACATTTCAATGTGGAACTGAATTCAAAGAAACCATGCCATTCTTCTAAAAATGACCCCATATACACAAAGTAGTACAGATATGAGAAGATATGAACTAGGTCCAAATTTTACCATAATAGTAAAGGAATGAATTATATTTTAAAGAAAAGCAAATTAGTGCTGGATACTGGACTCAAATAACCTATTTTATTTTATTTTTTTAAAGATTTTTTTGATGTGGACCATTTACAAAGTCTTTATTGAATTTGGTACAATATTGTTTCCATTTTATGTTTTGGTTTTTTGGCTGGGAAGCATGTGGGATCTTAGCTCCCCCACCAGCAATCGAACCCACACCCCCCTGCATTGGAAGGCAAAGTCTTAACTACTGGACTGCCAGGGAAGTCCCTCAAATAACCTTTTTTTATTTAATAAATTAAAATAATTTTTTTAAGTTTTAGTTATTTTATTTATTTATTTATTTTCTGGTTGAGCCAGGTCTTAGTTGTGGCTTGCCAGCTACTTGGTTGTGGCATGCGAACTCTTAGTTGTGGCATGCATGTGGGATCTAGTTCCCTGACCAGGGATCAAACCCGGGCCCCCTGCATTGGGAGCACGGAGTCTTATCCACTGCGCCACCAGGGAAGTCCCATCAAATAGCCTACTTTAAATGACAGCTACTGGAATACAGATATTAAACGTCAACATTCATAAAGGAATAATAAATTTATCAATGTAAGTCTCAGTTATCTGAAAGAACTATCCAAAAGACATGTTTCTTCAATATGTATAACAACTGCTCATGAAATATTTTCAGACAGCATGACAACTTAGCTTTCTAATAAGCAATGCTAGCAAGAGGCACTGAGAATCATCTGTGTTACAAAAGAATAAAAATGAGATGCAACGATCTGTGGGTGGCAAGTCCAGATTCCCTTACCTTTATATACCTTTTCAGTGTTACACAAGTGAAGTGTGAAGTAGGTATCTAGGAGTTGATGGCCATTCCTATTAACAATGTTCCGGGCAGCGATGTTCCGAAGATGTCTAAGACGTCGCTGAAAAATAATCACAAAAAAAGAAGAGTATTCAGCTTTTTCCTCCTATAAAGCTTTCTGAAAGTTACAATTCAAACATGAAATATAGTAAGTTGTCCCAATCGTTTATTTGTTGAGCCAGCAACCTTAACCCAGTCTCTTATTTATGCCTCAGCATCTCTTCTGTCAAATAGGAACTATTCCTGCCCTATATCATTTACAAGGTTGTTGGGAGCATGAAATAACAGATATGAAACATTCTTGAAAAGCATAAATGTTATATCAATGCTATATACCTGTAGAATAGCGTTAGTACTTCCTGGAACATAAACTAAGTATAATAGTAATTTGCTTTTTTCCCTTTGGAAGGATGCTTGTAGACATGCAAAGTCCACCTCACACCAACAGAAAATCAGCCATTATTACATACATACACCTCTGTTGCTAGCTCAGTCTGACGCCAGATCATCTATTACAACCAGGAAAAGAAGCCAAAGCCAAAAAATAAAAGCAATAACTCACTGTTCACTCCATCCAGCCAGTAACCCAACTGCTGCCAGCTTAAATTCTCACTTGACCAGCAGTTAACCAGCCCCTATTTCCTAATCAGGCCTCCTTCCCAACAATTTCTCCAACTAGGATGCATGAATTACTTGGAGTCACAAGTTTTGGAAAGGCAAAGCTCCATAAGCAACAGTAGAAACCAACAAAAATATAAGATAACTTACGGCACAGCCAAATCATCTCACATCAGAAAGAGAAAACGTTGGCAATGCTGAAGTCTAAGCACAACAGATTCATTCTCAAAAGCTAGTTCCCTGTGTCAGATCATTATTTTCAGAGACTTAAAAATAGAAACCATGGGCTCAGTTTTAAATATGCTTAAAGCTCTCCCTTCAGGCTGAAAGCCCACTTTGCTAAGTCCATCTTTAATTACATGTGCAGTCAGCCAGAAAAGTTCAGTTCTTCCCTTCCATGCACATACCAACCCAATCCTTTCTCCCAATCTAGAGATTAAGATTCTTTGACAGAGAACGTTATTGTCTAATAAAATCGGTTAATACTCAAAGTACGAAAAGCCCCAAATGTACTTACAAAAAGTTCCTAGGGCTTACTCTAAAAGACTTATATTTCTACAATCTGCCAAAGGTTTCCATTTCACACCCTGGATTACAGCAACTATTTCCTTCTACTATATATTTTTCATCAACCTTCTCAGTCAAGATTTTAAATTGACAGGAACTATTAATTGCCTATACACAACAATCACATCTATTCTGCCATAAGATTCCAAACTTGGTCCTCTATTCAAAAACCCGAAAACATTACGCAAAGCCTCCAGCATAAAGTACAAACTTCCCATCATTCCTTTCAAAGCCTTGTGCAATCCGACCTCTCCATAACCTATCCTTACTGCCCACTAGATCTTCCACATACCCAACCCCTTAGTCACACGTGACTGATTAAGGTTCCATGAAAAAGATCATGCATGGTCCTAGCTCCATGCTTTTGCTAATGCTAGCCCCTTAATCTAGAATACTACTCTCTTTAAGGAAATCCATTTATGCTTCAAAGTTAAGGAGAGAAGATTCCTCCTTCCTTATTCTCTAACTGAACTGTTTCTTTTTAATGCAATTAAAAAGAAACACTGGGAGGTTAAACCAGAAATGCAGAAAAATTATTACCTATGGGGGTAAGAACAGGTTGGAGGGAATAGCGATAAAAGCAAGACTTCCCTGATACTTGTTTATGTGGTTTTAACTTCTGTACCATAAGAATGATTTACATAATCAAAAATAAAGTTAAATAAATAAGAAAAAGTTTAAATCAACTAAACCTAGTCCAAAATATAATAGCAATACCAAAAATTACCACCAGCCTTAGGCTATATCACCCACCTTTGCCCAAAATATTACCCTATGATCCAAGGAAATATTAAAGAAGTCAAGGTGACCTAAAGGATCCTCTCTGGTTCTCAGTTCCCCAGAACATCTACTTGACCAAAACAATGTATAATTATACCTAATATGAAATTATGGATAGTTCCAGATATTTGTCAATCTTCCCCAACTAGACTATAAGTTCTATAAAGGAGAGACTTTATTTTATTTACTGTTGTATCTCCAGCATCTAGATGAGTACCTAGCAAACAGCAGGAACACAATAAATGGTTTTTGACTGAATTAATGTATGTCCAGTGAATTAACCCAGTCAAGAAGGTCTTGGTATGACCTAGGCCTTGCCATGAACCTGAGTGGCCTGGAACCCTTAGTGGCTTCTGACACCCACCCACGAGATGGTGGGAGAATAGAGAGCACTTCAAACCTAAGGATGGACCTCAGAACTGAAAGGGAGCTCAAATCTTAGCAGCGCTTCTGGACTACAGCAAATCCTCAGCACTCATCTACCTTTAACTGCTCCAGGGTATACAATCTAGCGGTAGTTCGTGGCCTGGTGGCACCATCTAGCATAAATACACTGCTCTAGAACTTGTCTAAACAGAAATTAAATACCAGATTACCTCTTCAATGGCCCATCTAAAGATAGTTAAATTCAAATCTGTCTTATGCTTTAAACTGGCTCAATTATCTTAGAAAAGTAAAAATACTGAGCAATTAAAATTTACACAGACTTTGGAATTACTCTTTAAGATAACATTCCATGCAGCTTCTTCACCAACCAATCTCCTTATACTTTCTCAAAGCTCTAAGCTTTCACAGTTATAAAAAGCTCTTTGTGTATCTTTCTACAGCAGGAGCTTTAGGCATCCAAGTTGTGCTCTAAAAACACCTATCTCCAAAACTAAAGCTGAATAGATTTTAATTTTTAAGTTGGAATTAACATGGCTTTAATGTCTTTGAAACACTGCCTATAAAACATTCTATATAAAGGTTAAAAATGTTCACTGACAAATAAAATTAAATCTTCTTACTCAGCTTTGATTTGGAGGACTGACAGATGTAGCTAGAGCACAACTCTATCTGCAACGTTGGCAGTGGGTAAAAGACCAGTAGGATCCTAAATTCCTTAACTTTTTTCTTTTACAAATCTCTCAAGTATAAATTCTAAAACAAGACTTAACTGCCATATGTTGTAGATCTGAAACATTTGCTTAAGTAAAAAAGTAAGCGTTACTCATTAGTATGATTGTAAACTGGTGCCTCTAAAGAATCTAAAATGGTTGGTTTTTCTTGTTAACAGAACTAATGCTCTTAGAAAAATGCTTTAAAACATAACAGTACATTAAATGATTTTTTTGCTTTGCTTTTATTTATTTTGTTGTGTTTTGTCCTGCCCAGCACCTATTTGGTTTAAGAAACAAAAAACAAAACAAAAACAAACAAGCAAACAAACAAAAAAACCCTCAGCTATTCCTTTGTAGAACCACTCTCCTCTGCTATCAATCTATATAATACTTCCTGTAGAATTAACTCCACCTCCAACTCCAAGGAGGGTCGCGTGACTCAGATCAGGCCAATCAGCACATTCCATCCCCCTGCCCGTAACACATGATTAGGATCCTAGAAAACCTAGAAATTAAATTGTTGAGAGGTTTATTTTCCCCCTACTGGCCCAGAACCTGGAAAGGACATGGGACTAGAGAGGCTGGCAGTCATCTTTACACCACAGTGAAATGAAAACAGCAAGTAAGACAGCAGAGTCCAGAGATGTGGAGCAAGACAGAGGTAAGGGATTAAGAAATACAAACTACTATGCATAAAATAGACAAGCAACAAGGATATAGTGTAGAGCACAGGGAATTATAGCTATTATAGCTATTAATGGAGTGTAATCTGTAAAAATACTGAATCACTATGCTGTACACCTGAAATTAATATTGTAAATCAACTATACTTCAATTAAAAAAATAAAAGTAAAAAAGTCCTGGCAACAGAATTTGTCTCTGGATCAAACCATACCTAAAATGAGAACTACTGTATAATGACATATCCAGTCCCTATAAAACTATCAAAGATTACAACTAGAGAGAAGACTTACATTGTAACTGTTTATCAAGAATTTATCCCGGGGCTTCCCTGGTGGCGCAGTGATTAAGAATCCGCCTGCCAATGCAGGGGACACGGGTTTGATCCCTGATCCGGGAAGATCCCACATGCCGCAGAGCAACTAAGCCCGTGCGCCACAACTACTGAGCCTGAGCTCTAGAGTCCGCGAGCCACAACTATCAAGCCCACGCGCTACAACTACTGAAGCCCGAGCGCCTGGAGACCATGCTCCACAACAAAAGAAGCCACCACAATGAGAAGCCCACACACCACAACAAAGAGTAGTCCCCACTCGCCTCAACTAGAGAAAGCCCACCTGCAGCAAGGAAGACCCAATGCAGTCAAAAATAAAATAAATTTTAAAAATTAATTAATTAATTTTAAAAAAAGAATTTATCCCATTAACAGGTTAGTAGATGAAGAGAACATTCTAATTTAGAGGCAAGGTACAAAGAAATGTTTTATTTTGTTAAACATCTCCATATTTTAGAAAATGGTAATTTCTGGTGGGTCACTCCATTTTTGTTGATGTAATTTTGAACCTTAACCTTGGTGACGGCAAGTCAAAACACACCCCAGAACTAAAAGAAAACCAAAGCAATTTTCAGTAGTAAGGTACGCCATTGGTGTTCTATGTTCCTCCCAAATATTACCACCTTTCCCTGGCTGGTATCTAAAACTTTCTGGTTTCTGAGGTATAATAATGACCAAAGAGAAATGTGGTGTCCTTGATCTTGTTCCTCGTCACTGCTGGAGAGTGACTCAGGGAGGCTGATGGCCAACAGAAGGAGGAAGAAATGGTTATCATGCACCCTCCTTCCCTGTACCCCTTGCTTAAAAAACAAGAGTAACTGTGTTTCTTAAATATAATGACTCCACAAATCCCCACCGTCACCAAACTAAGCTATAATCCCACGCACCTTTTATGACTCCCAAGACCATGGTGACGTATCTCCTAAACAAATTTTGAGTCTAATTTGCTTAGTCTACAAGAGCTATTACAAATCAATAATA